CCGGGGGGCAGCCACGGGCTTGGGAGGCTGGACGATTTCATCTCTCTGTCATTCCCTTTGGTCTGTCTCTGAGTGGGAGGAGGGAGCGAAGGGGAGCAGAGAGTGGTGCGGGGGAGGGGAGGGGGTTCAAAGAAGGCCCAGGAGGAAAAAAGGCTGAAACTTAAGTCCTTGGATTGCAAATTGCCTTTCTAGGGAAGTCTCTCTCAGCACCTTGTTAGGATTTAGAGAGAGAAAGAACCAGGGCAGGGGCTGGGGCTGGAGCCTGGAGGGAGGGGTACAGGCCCAGCTTGGGGGTGGCAGGCCAGGCAGCCACCCACTTGGGGCAGGGTGGACCACTGACCAGAGATGTGGACAGCAGGTAAAGCATGGGGTGGCCCACGTGTCACCTGGTGCTTGTATGACCTGGACACGTACGGCGACTTCTGAGCCTTGGTGCCTCGTCCTCGGAGCGGTGACAACTAAGTGCAGGGACAGCTGTCGAGGGCAGAACCCAGGGCTGGGCCACACTGGGCGCTGGACCCCAGTGACCTCCTCCTGTCCCACCAGCAAGGGGTATGTCTGTGCGAGTCGAGGGGGCGCTGTTCCCCCACTGCTGCAGGTTAGGGACAGCCTGTTGTCCACATTTTAAGCCACCTGCTCCACCGGACCCGGCTCTGGCCATGGTGGTGCCGCTTTGGGCAATGACGTAATGTGTCTAAGCCCGCTAACGGCACCTGGCGCGACTGCCCCATCCCAGAGTCATAGGTAAGACAAGGGTAAGGATGGGCGGTTTAAGCTGGATGCTGGGGATGGAGGAATGTGCCCCGAGGGATATGAGCAAATCTGAGTGAGGAAGGGAGAGGAGAGCAAGCCCATAAGGCCTGGGCCTTGGGCCATCAGTGCCAAGACAGGATGTGGGGACGTGGCTCTCTGTGACCAAGACCCTTGTCCCTTTCTTCTCTCATCATCCCAACCCTGATGGGGCAAACTACCTCCTGTGCCAGGAGGCAGGGTTGGAAAGTGGCCTAGCTGCCAGCAGCTGACGAAAGACTCCCTAAACCTTTGACTGTGGGCCCACGCTCTGGCCAAGGCATCGTCTTACCTGGCGATGACAAAGAGGACACAGCTGACACCCAGGTAGGCCAGGAGCACATACATCCAGATGTCGGGGGACAGAGGGTTGAGGAAGGAGAAGACACTGGGGTTGGTGCCATTGGGCTTGCGGTACAGGATGCTCACGCCGAGCGTCATGAAGGGCTTGGAGAAATCGATGGCCTTCTCGCGGACATGCGTGATGGTCAGGGGTGCCACGGCCAGGTCTGCCTTCTGTAACAAGCGACAGACAGACACTGAGCAGAGCCCGAGACTAGCAGGGGGAGGGAGGGGAGGGAGAGCGTGAGGGCCACAGCCTTGGTCCTGGGCACTCGGCCACTGTCTCCATATGCACTTCCCGGCCAGGCCATGCCTGGGGCACTGGGAGGCGTGATGAGGTCGGCGTGCCCTCTGTTCCTGGGAGCACATGGCCTGGGGAGAAGAGCGCTGTGAAGGTGCAGGGGCCCTGCTAAGGCCGTGATCCACCGGCCCCTTCTCAAAGTGCTACTGTGGCAGCTACACCTGGTCAGCAACCTGCGCTGCGAGGAGCTCTTGTTCTTTGTGTTTTCTGAACTCCATGAAGAGGACACAGGGCCCACAGCGTCAATCTGCTTTCCTCTCCTAGCCCCTGCCGACTGCTTCACCCCATTCTGGACATTCCATAGGTCCCCAAAGCCTCCCCAGACTAGCTGGGGAGGGCAATGAAACACCCTCCTTGGGAGCCGCAGTGGACAAGCCACCAATTCATGGCTCTCTGCATCCTGAACCCCATCTCTGCCCGGAGCATTAACCGAGCTTCCCTCTGAGGAGCTGGGCTGAGCTTCCCCCTGGGCTCCTGGGATATTTATGCCTCACAGTGTGAAGCAAGTTCTCATCTCCCTTCCTCGGGTGGGGCAAGACAGAAAAGGAGGTTGGGTCCCAAAGACCAGCATGAGCATGAAAGACCCTTTGCCAAGGGAGAACCAGCCTCTGAACCTTCCTCCCAGGGCATGCCTCTGGGCAGTTTCCACTGGCTAGGCCCAGCCCCCGCCACCGTGAGGCCCTCCAGACACTGGGGTACAGAGCGGGCCCAGAAGGAAGTGGTTCCTGCCCTCCTGGGGTTTACAGTCTAGCCGGGAGGTGTTCATTGATGAAGTCGGTTACTAAATGGCAGCTGTTAACGCCACCTCTGACCTCTGGCTTAGAATAGGAACCAGCGATCCAGGCAAAATCAGACTTCCAGCAGGAAAGGCTAGCGGGAGTGGAACCCTAGTTTCCAGACAGCTCTGCAGGTGCCCCAGGCTGAGGGAGGGTGGACACTGAGGGTCACACAGCTCTGATGTTGCTCACCCCAGCGTTTCCCTCCTAACGATAGCCCCACACCCCATCGTGGACACTCAGAGCCCCAGGATTCAGTGAAGGTTGGACCGACAGGGAGGCGGGCCTATTACAAAGGGTATTATACCAAGACCTTCCCTGGTAAGTTTCTGGCCCTGTGAGTTGAAACTTGCCAGCTTTGAAGGCAGAGGGAGCAGGAACAGGCAGCGGCTGCCACCCCAGCTCCAGGAGCACCTCCCGGCACGTGGCAAATACAAAGGGAACCAGCGACAGGAGGAGCTTCAGGGAATGTGCGGATGGTAAACCTGTATTTGTTCAAGACCTACAGGTGCACAGGAGGCCCAGTGGTAGAGCCTCCAGTTGGGTGAGCCCCTGGTGGGGGCTGCAGATGGATTCCTGGGTGGGTGGGAGCCAGGGTGAAATCCCTCCATTCCTGAAGTCCCAGGAGCCTCTGTAATGTTGATGTGACAGCGATGTAAGGGGCATTTTATTCTAGCACTTGACCTCCCCGAGCCCTGTCCCTTCAAAGCACATTGCTTAGGAAGGATCTGCTCTGACTTCAAGTCCTTATCACCGCTCAGAACGGATCTGAAGTGGCCTCTGGGGCTTGGAGTGGATTCTTTGAGAAAGAACCTCAAGTCAGTGGTGAAGCCTCTTCCTTTGACTTTCAATGGTGAGTCGGAAGACAGTTGCGGTGGGGGGATCAAGGTGTTTGCAGCCAGAAACGGTCAGGGGTTGGCAGCAAGCCAGCCCCCCGGTCACAGGCTCTTTCTTTCCCCAGACCCTCCTGAGCTTTCAAAAGCTCTGTGCTGCCCCCCTCCCCCCATACACACTGGCCCTAACGGACTTGGGGAGGTGGGGGGAGGCATTCACGGCACTTTGTGCCCAAGGCACATGACAACCGGCCACGGGGACCTTCACGGATTCAGTGTTCTCCTTTGGGCTCCTGGAAGGCCAGAGTTCTCAACTTCATTTCTGGTTT